GCGAAATAGAGCGAAATAAAGACGAAATAGACGCGAAATAGTCGGTGAAATAGTCGCGAAATACCTCTGAAATACTCCGAAATAGCGCGAAATAGACTGAAATTATCCGAAATAGGAGGGAAATAGCCGAAATGGTAGGAGAAATAACCGAAATGGTAGGAGAAATACCACGAAATAGTCCGTACGCTACGAACCCTAGTGATTCCCCCCTCGCCCCTGCCCCGCCGCACACGCCGTTTCCCCCATTTCCACACAGACGGCCACCCGCGCCGCGCAGCGCACGCTAACGACTCCCGTTTGTTAAATTAACCTGCCGCCACTTTAACTGGGGTCAGGGCGCCGCAGCCGCACTCGTGCACGGCCCAGTGCCCGGGCCGGGCGCATCAGTGACGCCACGGCGGAGCAGCAGGCGGGAACCGGTTCCGGTGCCGGCAGGAAGAGTGAGGGAGGGAGGGAGGGGGCAGCGGCCTTGCCCCTACTCCCGCCTAATAAGGAAGGTCCTGCTTGGGATCAAACCGAACCGACAGCAGACCGACTGCAGCGGCGGCGGCTCCGGCTCTAGCCCCGCGCGAGGCGAAGAAGAGACTCGACACGAACCGAAGGCGAGGGGCACTAGGCTGAGCACTCGAGCTGCGCGTCACCGACAGCAAATCAATATGCAGAAAGGAAAAGGGCGAGAGTAAAAGTTTCACTCTTTAGCTTGTTTTCTCTAACATCCACACAATTCCACAACAAGCAACAGGGTAAAAAGTAATCGGGGGTCCTACAACAACCATGTAGTGTGCGACAGCCTGTTTCTGCACGCAGCTCGCTCTTCAGCTGTTATCGCACCCGCCAGAGGGTTACCGCACCCGCTCCGTGTAGAGCGGTCCCATGGTCCCGTTGGGCGGCGGCCAGGCGGGCCCCAAACTGGGCACACTCACTGCTGATGTTTATTGATCCTTACATACGAAGGATAGAGGACAGCACACTGTAAAACAATGTTGTCATTTTAACGACAAATTGTTCTTCGAGATTTTCAATGAACATTCTTGTTCAACAACAACAACACTGTTTGTTATGTAACAGGAACAAGTAAAGCGTTCATTCTTCCCGGCGAGCGTCTCTCCACACGTCGGTGCCACCCGTACCAACTAGCCCGGCCTCGGCTGCAGGCTGCCGGGCCGCCTGGGGGAGCCACTCGTGCAGAGTTAGTTTGCACCTCGCGGTTTGTGCGAACGAGGCTTAGCAGCAGCAGGAGGCAGGGGGAGGGGGGCATCATCAAATACCTTTGCTCATACTGCTACCGCTGCTGCTTTCGAAACACGCGCGCGGTGACGACGGGGACCAGGGAAGGAGAAAGGGGAGGGAAGGGGGAGGAGGAAGAGAGGGGAGAAGAGGGTGGCGAAGGGGGGGGGGGGTGCGAGAGTGTAAAGCCAACCGTGTCACCCAGTCACCCACCAGGAACGCAAGTGCGGTGCCCCCGCTCCCGGCCCCCGTCGGCCCCCAGCCCCGGGCGGCCGCGCGCCGCGCCGACTCGACGGCTGGCCTTCCCTTCCGCGATGCTTGATGCACTGCTTCACCCGGTCCGTCCCACTTGCGCTGCCGTCACGCTTCTTGAGGTGTTACGGCAGATTAAATGTGTGTGAGGACTTTTCATGCACGGGTCGGCGAGCACGTGGCGAGGCAGCAGCAGCAGCAGGTCAAGCGGAGGTCAAGCAGCACACAAAGCTCAGCCCGCTGATGCTGAGCCCCGCAGCCCCGCCGTGTTGAAGAGCAGACTACTCAGCAGACAGTTGGGGGCGCGGCAGCCGAGGCGGCAGCCCCACGGGCGCGCTCCGAGGGGGTTAAACTTTGGGGGACAGGCGGGGAGGGAGGGGGGTACAGGCTGTCAGGACGTCTCCCGCAGGACCTCTCTGCTGCCACGGCCCGATAAGGATCCCCGGGGGACGACCCTGCGACCCGCGCGAGCGAGCGCCACGCCCCGCATCAGCTTAAAGGTAGTTTCCAGGCCTGGAAATTGATATCGCCCTCCTACCCCCTACCCCTTACCCCTCCCCGGCACTCATCAGGAAACGGCAAACCCCGCGGGGCCCGCCAACAGAG